CTCCCCCCGCGCTCAAGGCCCTCGGTCCGCGGGCGGGGGTGGGTTCCCAGAGGGGCAGCCCGCGGGCCCGGCACCGGCCCAGCGCCGCCGCCACGTACCGCCGCGCCGCGCAGCCCGACATCCCGCGGCCGGGCCGACCCCGCCGCCAGCCCACAATGCACCGCGCGCCCCCCCCTCCCGCTTCCCGTCGGCCCCCGCGGGGCGGGCAGCGCCGCTCTAGCCCGCTGCCGCTCTCTATGGCGCTCCCTGTCGCCCAGGCGACGGACGGCGGCCGGGCAAGATGGCGTCGGCGGTGCGGGCCGGGCGGCGGCTACGGCAGGCCGTGGAGGGCAGCGAGCTGGCGGGGTTGCCCGCCGACCTGCGGGCCGAGCTGGAGGCGGCACTGGCCTCCCAAGGCGCCGTGGTGCCCTTCAGACTGCTGCGGAGGCTGCGGACCGCGCTGCGGGAGGCAGGTAGGCCGCGCCGCCCCTGTCGCGACGGGCCGCGGACGGCCGGACGGCTGTTAACCGTCCCGTTCCCCATCCGTAGGGTCTCCGCTGTACCTACACCAGCTCCTGGAAGGCAGCGAGATCGATTTCCCCGAGGTGCCGGTACCACCGCGGGTAGGTGAATGCCGGGTACGGGTCGCGGGAGATGGTGGCAGCCCCCGGCCCTCACAGTGGCTCTGCACTTCCCTCAGAACCCCGAGCTGGTGGCCCGGCTGGAGCGGATAAAGGCCAAGCTGGCAAACGAGGAGTACCAGCGCATGACCCGCAACATCACCGGCCAGGTGAGAGACCTTCTGCATCGCCTGCTGTCAGGATGTGCTCCTCAAAAGCGTGGTGGTTAGCAACCCGACAGACAGCAAAGGAAATTTACCCCATAGAGTGCAGTGCAGAGGGGATGTGGCAGGGACTTGAGGAGTGCACGCTGAAATTGCATGTCGTCCCACAGACGCGGTGTTGAGGGCAGAGGTGGGACAGGGTATCCAGGATGGTGAAATAGAAGAGATGCTGATGTTTGGGAACAGCTCACAGCACCAAAGATCTCAGGGTTTGATCTGTGAGACAGCACCCGTGGTAAATATTACTGGGAGCATCTGTGCAGCCTTTTTCTGAACTGTTACATTTTCATCATAGTTTTAAAATGAGATCATCCATGTCAAGGTAAAAGCTGAAAACACAGGGGGATGTTTGGGCACTGATTCTTTCCAAAGAAGAGGAGAGATCTTTTGGTATGGTGACGATGGGGACAAGCCAGTGTCCCTTCCTCGTGATCCTGTCCTACCTGTCCCTCTTCCACGCTGTGTCTGGCATCCCTGGGCATTTAGGTCTCTGCACTTATCTTCCAGTTACATTGGGAAGGTCTGCTTTGCTGTCAAACTTGGCTGCTTTGTGTATGAACTGGAGTGTTTTTAGCAGAGAGGGATAGTAATGACAGCATCGTTCCTTTCAAACAAGAGAGAAGCAGAGGAGTGTTCCCATATCTGTGTTCTCATCACGTTCTTCCCTGCCTGCCCCCCCCAGAATCTGGTGTTTGATGTTGTGTAACTGTGTCTGATTGGACAAAGAGCGTGCAGAGCTTTACAACATGTAGTTCTGGCCAGCTGTGTGAACACAGGTGACAAGGTGTGACATGGTTTAGTGATGGGTTTTATTGGAGTTAGGTTGATGGTTGGACTAGATGATCTTAAAGGTCCCTTCCAACCTAGATATTTCTATGATTCTGTGAAGGTGAGACCCTCTTGTGTCTCTATGAAAGACAAACCTGCAGCAGAGAACCCACTTGCAAGGAAATGTTCACACACTGAGAAGTGCTTTGATTAGAAATGATCCCTTTTCAGTGATTTCAGATTTCCTTGAATCAGACCACAAACATCAACCCAGAGAAACCCGGGCCCTGTGGAGCTGCCAGGCCCTTCCCGGCAGCTCTCTGAGCTTCTGAGTCTTAGAGACGGCACAGGGCATCAGTGTTGCTTTTATTATTCAGTTAACATTAAAATACAACCCATCACAAGTTGTTTTAATCCCTTCTTTTAGCAGACGAACGGGACATTGGCCGAATTTGGGAGGCAAGGTGAGTGGCTGCCCGTCCTGCTGACGCCTGGCCGTGGGTACCTACAGGTCAGTTGCTGACAGGCCAGCGTTGCTGGCTGTTGACATCAGACAGCCCTTCCCTCTCCAAACATCTCAGATTTTAATGCACAAAAGCGTTCCTCCAGTAAAGGAGAAACCTGTTGGCCATCCTGATAAATATTTTTGGAGGCATAAAGCATGTGAATCCTCGAGTATTCCCGGGAATCCTTCCTGTAGCCCAGCTGAGGCAGCCACAGGCAGGGTTACAGCTTGTCCCCCAGCTCAGCTCTCCGAGCCTTACCTTAAAACAATCATCTTTTCCCCTTCTCTCCAGTTCGCTCTGTTAAAGCCGTTGTCATCACCATATTCAACTTCATTGTCACGGTGGTGGCCGCCTTCGCCTGCACGTACCTGGGCAGCCAGTACGTCTTCGCAGAGACGGCAGCGGTGAGTGAGCCCGCGGCCTCGGGACACGCTTGGGGTGTGCTCTGTGCCAGCCAGGGTCACTTTATCTCTCTTTTTTGTGTCCCCAGCGCGTCCTGTCAGCGGTAATTGTGGCCTCGGTGGTTGGCTTGGCTGAGCTGTACGTGATGGTGCGGACCCTCGAAGGGGACCTCGGGAAACTATAGTCACACGTGTCCCCCTGTGAACTGTGGCCTTGTGCTGGAGGTGTTTGCCCTCCCCAGAAGTCACTGATTTGGGGCAGTTTGCTCTTCTACCATCTATTTGTACCTGCTCCTGTTACCGGGACAACTGCTGCGTTCCTCAGGCCTCCTCCCTTTGCTTCCCGCTCTGTAACGTTCCTGAAATGAATCATGGATTAAAAATCCTGCAGCCGAGGAGCAGAAGAGGGAATGGCTGTGGACTCTCAGGACACCAGCACAGAGAGGGGCATCAGCTCCAGCTGCTCCCGTTCTCCTGGGAAGTTGCTGTCCTTTTATTCTGGAATTAAATAACGTTGCGCGTTTGCAAACTTCTTCAACCTGGGAGACGTCTGTCGCTCTTGCGGAACACGGACCTGACAGCTAAATGCTGCCACAGGGAGCCCTCAATCTTCCCTCTCCCTCTGCATCCTGCACCCCACTCCTGCCAAAACCCCCCTTTTCCTGCCCTCGCTGCCCCTGCCCACTCCCTGGCCCCCTTTCGGGTACCATAACTCCCTTGTCACCCGCGTGGCAGCACCCAACACAGCTCATTTTTGGGGGGGAGCCCTTTCCCACTCCAGTTCAGGAGGACAGTGGTGTCTGGTGCAGCCACCTTGGGGCTGACAGAATCACATGGGGTTGGAAGTGACCTCTGGAGATCATCCAGTCCAACCCCCTGCCAGAGCAGGTCCACCCAGAGCAGGCTGCACAGGAACGTGTCCAGGTGGGGTTTGAATGTCTCCAGAGAAGGAGACTCCACCACCTCCCTGGGCAGCCTCTTCCAGGGCTCTGCCACCCTCACAGTAAAGAAGTTCCTCCTCACGTTTAGGTGGAACTTCTTATATTCAAGTTTGTGCCCATTTCCTTCGTCTTATCCCTGGGCACCACTGAAAAAAGACTAGCCCCATCCTCTTGACACCCATCCTTTAAGTATTTATGAACATTGATCAGATCCCCCCTCAACCTTCTCTTCTCCCAGCTCGGCACCCAGCTCAGTGGCACCATCTCGTTGTCCCCACGGCGTCTCCTGACCCACAGCTGTGGGTGCATCGAGGGGGGAGCACAAACCGTGGGGTGGGGTGGCTCTAGCTTCTGTGGGTAGGGAGGGGACGCACCTCAACGCACAGAGGTGCCACAGAGCAGAGAGCAGAGCCAGCTCGGTGCACCCCACGGTGGGGAGAAGGGGGGGGTCCCAGGACCCCCCCCCCCCGGGGGGG